GTTTGTATACTCTCACAAAGAATACAAACTGTATACTTCGATTTTCAATATTTTTCCTGCGGCCTGAATAATAATGATTTTCCGGTGGAAAATTCGGTAAACGAAAAGCTATTTGCAATCAACGCACAGCCCAAACGGTTAGAGCTAGGAGGCTGAAAATGAGACACATGTTGTCTTCGGTGGTGTAGGTGAGCATTAAGAAGTGGTTTTGGAAAATTCGAACGCCAAAGGGGAGAAAACGGGCTCCAACGTTTGTTTGAAAAATCTACAATTTTCATCAAATTAACTTCAAACTTAGTTTGTATACTCTCAAAAAGAATACAAGAAAAACTGTATACTTGGTTATTCACCATTTTTCCTGTGGCATGAAAAGGGGAGGGGGGGGGGGGGCCCGTGGAAAAATTGAAACACAATCAACAGCCCACAGCCCAAACGGTAAGAACTAGAAAGCTAAAATTTGGGCTCAAGTATCCTATCATGGTGTAGATGCGCACTAAGAAGGAAAATTCGAGCTCCAAAGGGGGGAAAAGTAGCTCCAAAGTTTGTTTGAAAAATCCGCACTTTTCAACCGATCGACTTAAAACTTAGTTTCTAATATCAATTAAAGAATACAAACAAAACTGCATACTCGGATTTTCGAAATTTGTGTTGGAGCTTGAATTATTTGGGTTTTAATATTTATTCACTATTTCAAATGAAAAATTTTTGTTATAAATTTAGTCCGATCGATTTAAAATTTGGGTAATGTAATCTACGTAACTAAATCTACAACTTAGCATTCAAGAATTTTCAAAATATGCATTTTACAAAAACAGGCAGAAAAAACAATACAAAATATCAAACAGTTCGGGACAACTAAGTATACATACACACACATACAAACAGCTGTTCGTGTAGTTGCGTGCAAACTATTGAAATAGCCAAACCAAATTGTAGACACTAATGTGTGAATGTCCATACATATGTGGACATCTATGTATGTTCATATGTATCTACATATGTATGTATGTACATTCGTCTTGCATCGACAGAGCAAGAAATGTTAATTAATTGAAAATTATATAACATTTTTAAAAGTAATTTTTTCTTTGTTTAGTGAATTTGGCATTAGGGTTTTCATTAATAACTTTATGCAGCAACAAAAAATATCAAATAGTTGGGGACATCACATACACACACTCACACACACAACAAGCAACAGTTCGTGTCTATGTGTGTGTATACATTGGGCAATCGAACACAGTTGTTTGATTGTTAAAAAATAATGCTCCAAAAACAACAACAACTGCAAGTCATTGGCTCGCTCTTCTTCTTTCGTTTTGACCATTTAATGTTAATTGCAAAGGCAAAACGCCAAAAGTTCACAGTTACCGTCACTAGGCAACGACTGCGTAACCGATAGTAAAGCAGAAACCGAATAACGGAGCTACGCATATTCTGCTTCGCATTGCGGGCAGATGTATGTATGTATGTATATGATTTGTTCTTATTGATCTGAATAAATAATTAGATTTTATTATTATACTCTGTACATGAAATGTACAAGAGTATATTAGGTTTGCGGGAGCTGAAAAATGTAACAGGCAGAAGGAGGCGTGGCAGACCCCACAAAGTATATATATTCTTGATCAGCGTGACAAGACGAGTCGATCTAGCCCTGTCTGTCTGTCTGTCCGTCTGTCCGTCCGTATGAACACCTGGATCTCAGAGACTATAAGAGACAGAGACACCAAATTTTGCACGAAGATGCGTTATGTGTGTATTCTATACGAGTTTGTTTTATTTTTTTTTATTTTCCGCCCACTTCCCCCCTATGGGGGTTTTCCCGATTTTCCATTCGTATAATCGCCTATATCTCGGAGACTATAAGACCTAGGTACACCAAATTTTAGTCCAAGATGCCTTGTGTGAATACGCAGAAAATGTATATTTTGGAATTTCCCTCCCTCCCCCCTCTCCCCCGCAAATGCGATTTTCTCTAACTCCCGTAATTCTTAGAATTTCGAACTAAAATTTTGCAAATACCCCCAGTTAGTAATTATGTGTCCGTATGCCAAGTTTCACTATGATAGACCGATTTACCAAGAAGTTATAGCCATAAATATATTTGCTGCTGCAGCGCTGCTCAAGCGCTGCTCAAGCGCTGCCCGCGGCTGTTGTTGATGTTGCTGTTTGGTTGACTGCGAAAATGCTTACACAGACACGAATAGATGCGCATAGGTATACATACACTCACACAGACGCAATTGTTATGTAAATGTGCAATTATACACCCTTCACGTGAGTTCGAATACCGAGAGAGGTAAAATCGATCCAATTTTTTTTTATTTGTTTTTTTTTTTATTTTCTATGATTATTGTATTGTACAGAGTATTTCAAAGTCGGGACACCCGACTTTAGCTTTTTTACTTGTTATTATTCTTATTGTTAAAAAATTTTGATTCACTGCTAAACGTGTTCCTTATATTGAACCTTTAAGGAATCATATTACATGTATATACACTTTCGCTGTTATTCGTTATTCTGCGCATTTTAAATTATGCTTACTTTATTTGCATCACTTGTTTCTATGGTAGGCCAAATGAGACTAAAATTGGATAGAGACAAACCAGTGGCAGTTAGCGTATGCACATTGTAATTATGTGTGAGTAGACGGCTACTGCACTGGAGGAACTGGGATAGGTATATGACGTTGATGTGTGTGAGGCGTTTGATGCCGCAAAACAGATTACTCGAATTAGATGGAAGGGAAAGAGCGAGAGAAAGAGGGGTAACGGGAAAAAAACGAATAAAAATGTTATGCGCAACACAATTGCCAGGCGTTGCCTTTAGCTGTCAACGCGACACTTGTATACATACATTTTATTCATCGTGTGTTTTCTTTTGTATTTCTATATTCTATTGTATTTGTCCGCCTCCGATTCGGTTTGACCTGAACATACCTTTTGCAACATGTTAGTGATCAGTTCGAACAATAAATTCGCGTCAACACGTAGGGCAGCTCGAGGTCTACAACGAGACGGCTGATTGAGTTTACTTGAAAGGTGACACTTTTGAGCATAAAATATTCGCGTCTAGCAAATTGCTTATACTCAACCTGGGCATTGCTCAATGAACCGCAACTCTTTCAGTGACCTGTTGGAACAAGCAGTAATTGTTCGCGCCCAACGAATTGCGGCTCGGCGCCATTTCTTCACCATACAGTCTTCACCATGACGTCCAGCACTAGCACATTTTTTGCATATCCACACACATAAATATTTTTCAAGTATTCCGTTGCATATTGCCGCAATGCAATTTATATACATACATATGTAAGAATTCACATACATATGTATTCGCGTAGAAATGCATGTTTAGTGTAACATTTTTACTTTGTGTTTACTTTATGTTTGATTGCTCCCTTCTCGCTTCGCACTTCAATAGCGTTTTGTGACTTAAGTATACACCGAATAAATTTAATTTAATTTCTTCATCTTCGGGAGGTTTGGTTCGGAAAGAAAAAGAAAACGACTGCGCCATTTACCAATAAACATTGGTGTTAGTACTCGATGCTTGACTTCTGGACGCATTTGTTTAAAATAACATGCTCTCTTCAGTTTTAATGTAGTCAGAGACTATTATATTCAACTATTTCTCTATGCTTTTGTCAGTTTTTAGCAGCTGGTCGAACACGTCCTCCACAAGAGACTGAATAATCGGAACTGCCTCTTTTATAACCAACCATCTCTCAGTTCTTTATATTTGCATTTTCGGTGTACGGTCAAAACAGGGTAGTCGAGCCTTCCGAACAAATACAGGGGGTCTTTTCTATCAGGAACCAATGACGGTATGTGGTTTTGGCAGTGCCATCTCGGATGTGGTCGAAATGGTAACTCCCGCGGCTGTTGTTGATGCTGGTGCTTTGGTTGACTGCACACATGTTTACTCAGACAATTGTTATGTAAATGTGCAATTATGCACCCTTTACGTGAGTTCGAATACCAAAAGAGGTGAAATCGATCAAAAATTTTTTTTAATTCTCATTTTTTAATTTCTATAATTATTGTAAACATATGTACAGAGTATTTCAAAGTCGGGACACCCGACTTTAGCTTTTTTAAATTCTATAATTATTGTAAACATATGTACAGAGTATTTCAAAGTCGGGACACCCGACTTTAGCTTTTTTACTTGTTTTTATTTTGCCTTTTTGCATCACCCACATTTTGGGTTCACCCCAATCTGATTCAACCTCAGACATGCCGAATGCGACGTTTGATATATGCTCGATGCAACCCCCAACATCAGTGCGATTCTACATATTCTTCGGCCTGTAACCACATAAAGCTCACTTCTGTTTAAGAAAATATTGTGTTTGTTTCTTATTTAAACACATATATCCATATATTTATATGTTATAACCTTTCTTGAAATGGTTCTTCCTTAACCCTGAAGCGCATGACTGGTTTATTTCTCAACGAACCTTGCGTAGTGCAGCATGTTTCAGTGACCTGTTCAAACCAACCGAAATTGGTATGCGTCCAACTAGCCCTACAACGCGGTTCGATCCCACCCTTACTATTGTACATGGCTTGTATTCGAGCTCAACTTGTGTTGTTCTCGTCGCCGTAGTTCTTAATGGGAACTGAACGTCCAATGTGCTCGCTTCGCCGCACTGATTCGATCGAACCCTGTGTAAAGGCATTTCACTTAGTTGTAAGATATTTAAGAGAATTATAATTGAAAGCAACGCATTAGTAGTAAAGAGTAAAGAGAAAATTGTCATACACTGCAGCTGCCTGCGAGCAGCATAATTGCAATTGCCGCTCTTATGTTGTGCTTTCGGCGGCGGTCGTTGTATTGTATGTAGCTTCGCTACAATTAAAGCCACATTTGTAATATTGAAGTCAAGCTGTGCGAGTGTTATTTTTCTTAGCCCAATAAATCGCGCATAGAATGACACCGTCTTTCTTTTACATAAAAGTTTGTGAATCTTTTGCTTTTGCTATACCGGCAAGCTACCGACTTAAAGCCGAACATTTTGGCACCCCCGGGTGGACTACTGGAGTCTACTCCCTCGTTGGATCTAACATCGACTCGGCTTTCGACTTGCGATTGCCGTCGTCGTACTGATCCTATTGGTGTCTTCGATCTGCGCGAGATTACTGGCGGTGTTCTCCTGGACAATTGGACGTTTGGCTACACTCCCAACCGAGGAATTGCCACAATTTTCAGGGAAGTTCACATCAGGTAACGAGTTCGAAAAATAAATTGCGGCCACATTTGCCGACTTGTGTGTGCATTTAAACGCCAAGTTGCGACACATATGTACATACATACAAGTGCATAAATATATGTACACATATAAATTTGTGCAACTCACTAATAAATTTATATGCACAAATTTATATGCTATACTCATTTGTAAATTTAGCAAATAGAGTAGACCGTGATTTATTTGGCAGTCGGCATCTCACTTAAAGAAATACAGGGTGCGCCATCTTTTATGTCGGTATGTAAACATTGAATATCCTTGAAAATAAACAACCGATTTTTAAGTATGAGATATTTTTATTTAATTTGGTTCTGTACAATTTCTTGAGCTGAGGTTTTCAACACCGTTCTACTCAAGTCAATCGGTTCACTAATGACAAAATTATTCAATATCTACATACCGACATAAAAGATGGCGCACCCTGTATAATTACTAACGCATAGCTGTTGGAGCTTTATACAATAAATAAAGTTTAAAAGAAAACATACATACATACATATATTTGCGTAGAAAATTGCATTTATTTATTTATGTTTGCTATCCTATACATACATACATATGTACATACTCGTACATACAGAATACATAAGCACATATCCAAACGTTGGTTGGAAATTTGTCGCGGAAGTTGAGTGCCGATTGGAAATTTTGTCCTGGTACATTGATAAAGCCTTTGACCTGCAGGAAGAATTAGACAGAATTGATCCGGCCATAGTGATCCGGCCTTAGTGTCAGACTTGGAGATTCTCTGCGTCTCAACTAAAGCGCTTTTGATGAGCAAAGGCGGACGGCCAAAGCCTCATAGGGACAGCGTAGTGAATTTAACAATATTTACATCCTCGCATAGCAAACAGTTGCCCTCAATGAAGTTGCCACGGTTTGGTGGTAGCTATTCGGAATATAAGAACTTCATTGGGCTGTTTGAAAATCTAGTGGACAATGACGCATCACTTTCAAATATTGAAAAGTTTAATCATTTGCTGTCATGCTTAGAGAAAGAAGCACTAGGAACGGTCAAGGCTTATCAAGTTACCGAGGAAAATTATCCAAAGGCACTGGCAGCTTTGAAGCGCGTTTACGACAACAGCTGTCTTATCGTATTTTATAGCATTGCCAAACTATTTGACCTTCCGAAAATGCAAAGCTCGTCTGCTAGTTCTTTGCGTTCATTGATTGATAACGTTCGCGCTAGCTACGAATCACTGCTATCCTTAGGCAATGACAAACAAATTTCTAACGTCATGCTCATACACTTGGTCATGAGTAAAGTTGATCCCAATACTCGTTCAAAGTGGGAAGAGAGCCTCGAGTATAGCAAACTTCCGTCTTGGGAAGACTGCGAGGCATCTCTCAACAGACGCTACCAGCACTTATCTGCTGAGGAATCATCTTCTGGTCGCTCCCGGACTCAAAAACTAAATTTTGATGCGTCAAAGAAAGGTAGAAAAATAGCACTGGCAGTTGCACATTTGTGGCGCAAGCTGAAACGCCAGTCCAAACTTCGGCTGTTAATCACGCCACGAGCGTTTCTGTTCAAGTGATATTGGCTACGGCAGTGGTCCGTGTAATGGATCAATCGGGCTCCTACCAATTTGCTAGGGCTTTGCTCGACTCAGGGCCCCAAATCAATTTTATGACAGAGGAGCTAGCCAAAACTTTGCAACTTAAAAAAGAGAAATAAAATATTAATTTGCTTGGCATTGGTAAACGCAAGTCTGCAGTTCGTCACATTGTGCAGACGCCAATTGCGTCTTGTAGTAGCACTTTTGATTTTATGACAGAATTTGGTGTACTGAGCACTATTTCGTCATACCAGCCTGAAAAGGTAATTGTCAACGTTGACGTGCCAAAAGATCTGGAACTAGCAGATCCTCAGTTTCATAGGCCGCAACGCATTGATCTGCTTCTTGGCGCAGATGTATTCTTTGACCTATTAAGAGAAGGCCAAATTTAAGGATCCAGTGAGTCGCCGACTTTGCAAGCTACAGCACTCGACTGGATTGTAGCTGGGCGTTGTCGATCTGCTGACTCATCTGCACTTTTTTCTGCTTCGCTCATTAGTTTGAAGCAGAGTTTTCTGCTTTATAATGAACAAAGTTCCTTAGATGCATTAGTTCGCAAGTTCTGGGAGTTGGAAGAAGTTCCAAATTTGACTGACTCACATTTATATACTTCAGAACAAATGATTTTCACTCGCTTGCCCTCGGGCCGTCTTAGTGTATCGTTGCCGTTTAAGTCCAGTCCGCAGTCACTTGGCAGCTCCTATGAAACAGCTAAAAGGCGCTTTCTAGCCTTGGAAAGGAAATTGTCCATGCAGCCATGTACATAAGTTTCATGACTGAATACATATCCTTGGGACATATGAACGCAATCGACAACACGGTCCCGAGAGAGCCGCACTATTTTATTCCGTATCAGTGCGTGCTAAGACCGCAAAGCACCTCAACAAAGTTGCGAGTTGTATTCGACGCGTCGAGCAAGACGTCGTCCCAAGTGTCGTTAAATGACATACTCATGGTTGGACCGACTATCCAGCCATGCTTATATTCAACTTTGTTGCGGTTCCGACTTCGGCAGTTTGCTTTGTCCGCTGACATTTAAAAAATGTATCGGCAAGTCGAAGTCATGGAATCACAACGCAACTTCCCATTGATTATTTGGAAAAAAGATACCACAGAACCACTTAAAATATACCGTTTGAGCACGGTAACATATAGCTGCACGCAGATTCGCATCCATTGGCGTCTAAATCTCTGGCCAACGACTTTTATTTGGATGACCTGCTATCTGGTGCAGAAACTGCGGAGGAGTTGCAGTTGCTGTATATTGAGCTATACTCAATTTTAAAGCCATTTGGATTTATGCTCACCAAATGGTCATCAAATTGAGAACAGTTTCAAATTCAGCCTTCTGACGATCTTCTTATAGGCCATCAGGAGGATACCAAAACGCTAGGACTAGTTTGGAGTCCTCGTGATGATGCGTTCAGGTACTGTGTCGAGACCTTTCTGTTCAGATATCGCCTACTAAACGTGCGATACTGTCGTTTATTTCGAAACTATACGACCCACTTGGTCTGCTGTGCCCAATAATTACGCGAGCAAAAATTTTAATGCAGGAGCTTTGGCTTCAAAAATTATCTTGGGACGACCAAATTCCCAGTCATCTATTAAAAGACTTGAATTCTATTACTAGCTCTTTTGATACACTGGAGTCGATTCGCATACCCCGATACGTCGGCGTCTCCAAAAAAGAAAAATGCCATGGCTTTGCTGACGCCTCAACGAGAGCATATGGGTGCTGTCTCTACGTTCGAGTAGAACAGAAGCAGAACGTAGCTGTTTATTTGTTGACAGCTAAGTCCAAAGTCGCGCCGTTAAAAACCAAGTCGGTTCCGCCATTGGAACTTTGTGCTGCACAGCTGCTAGCGACGCTGTGGGACAAAGTTAGGCAACTTCTGCATATGCCAATAGAGCGAGTCGTTTTTTGGTCCGATTCGGAAGTAGTTTTGCACTGGCTGCAAGCACACAAAGCTCATGTGAATATTTTCGTGTCAAATAGAGTTGCAAATATTCAAGAGCTTACTTCTGACGCATTTTGGAGTCATGTTCCGACAGCAGATAACCCAGCAGATCTGGCTTCACGTGGCTGCACCACGGCCGAATTGACTGATTCGCACTGGTTTAAGGGTCCACGATTATTAAAACTAGATTGTTCCCCTTGGCCTCGTAATTCTCATATCGAGCTGACCAAAGAGCAGTCAACGCTGGAGAAGCGTAAGAGCGCGACGGCTCTCATCGTGGCCGATGAGCGCTCAAATCCCTTCATGGATCTTATTGAAAATTCGTCGTCGTACCTTAAGATTCTCCGCACTTTATGCTACGTATTCCGATTCATCAACGGAAAAACAAATTCAAGCTCGTCACTTGTGTTAGCAGCAGCTGAATTAGAGTTTACGTTTTTTGCAGTTGTCCATATAGTACAACACACAGCTTTTGCAGACGAGATCTCAAAGCTAAACAAGTGCTCGATCCTGCAGCCTTCGTACCAAAAATTAAATCCATTTATTTGTCCATTTTGAACGGGAAATCGTCAATTCAATTTGGTACGAGTTGGCGGTCGCTTGCTTAAGGCACCATTGCCTCATAATGCTAAATTTCCACAGCTTATGCCAAAGGGATTCCGATTCGTGATGTTATACTTGCAGTATTTACATCGCACTAATTGCCACGCTGGTACACGTGCGCTCGTTAGCATTTTTCGCCAACAAGTTTGGCTTGTCAATGCGCGACAAGCTTATAGCGCAGTGGTGCGACAGTGTGTGCATTGCTTTAGGTATAAACCAATCCTAGCAAGCCAAATAATGGGAAATTTGCCCGCTGACCGATTACATGGCTGTAGGCCATTTGAGGTGAGCGGAGTGGACTTTTGTGGTCCAATACCTGTCTCGATGGGAATTCGTGGCAGAGCCCCGGTCAAGATGTATGTTGCGGTTTTTGTATGTTTTGCCTCCAAAGCTGTGCACATTGATGTTGTGACAGACCTGACTGCTAACTTGTTTATAATGTGTCTGTCTAGGTTTGTCGGCCGCCCTGGACCTGTGAAGCGACTATATTCGGACAATGCCACCAATTTCGTGGTGCTACACGCATTTTGGAGGAGCTCCGCAACAGCTGCAGTACCAACAACGATGCTATTGGCACATTTGCTGCCACAAATGGAATAACATTGCAGTTCATCTCGCCCCGCGCGCCGCATTTCGGCGGCCTATGGGAGGCGGCCGTAAAGTCCGCCGAGACATTGCTGCTAAAGGCAGGAAGGAAGCGCAACGCTGCGGCAGGACGAGCTGGTAACCGTGGTGGTGGAAGTGGAGGCGATCCTCAACTCGCGACCGATCGTGGCAGACAGTCGCACAGGTTTCAGTGCTAGGACCCCTGTTATTTTCTATTTATGTTAACGACCTTCCATGTTCGGTGTCA